TGCAGTGATCCTGACCAAGGCCGAGTATTAATTACTTAACCTCTCTTAACCAGCTGAGCCTCTTGTTTCCCCCAGGCCTTGCTCCAGTCCCATTTCCATAACCCACAGAATAAAGCCAACAGCCTTTGAGCACAGGCTAACATTTCACATACGGACCAGGCAAATCACATGCAGCAAATGCGCCCGCCTGCTGTTTCTCTCGGCGATGGCTCTGACACAAACATGCAAAGCAGCACGGAAGGTACAAGGCACACAAACACCACTGGTGCACCATTTTCCTAGGAAAGGGGGGAGAGGGGGAGTTGGAGAGGGCTGCTTATTCAGATATCATATTATTCAGATACAACTCCATAGTGGTTTTCTGCTTGAGCTAGCAGACACCACCACAGCCTAGACAGCAAAACATGCACTATGTTTGAAACTGAATTTCATATTATTTCAACCGATAGCGTAAGCTTTCAGCTGTTCTCTGCCCGTCTGTCTGGAGTCACAGCACCCTTCCGCCATACAGGGGGAGCTTGTTTTTGTCGCGATGGTGGGTATGAGCACAGAAACTGTTGCTACGAGCAGGCACCGAGTTTACACGGTGCAGCATGAATTACCGCCTCTCCCTCAGGACTAGCCACAGAAGCTCACACTGTGGCTCCACCCTGTACGCAGTGGGGAAGAGAAGACCCACTGGGCCCGGCAAGTTTTATTCCTGTGAGTTTCGGTGTCGTAATTCTTGACTTCCATGCTCCAAGCAGCTCCCTCACTCCGTGGGCTGACCGTTGCTCCTCCGCAGCGTTGGCACAGACCGTTCCTGCCACTCCAGACCCACAGATGATGAGAAGGACAACGTCCTTCAGGTGACAACACAAGGGCGAGTGCAAGGTCCTGCATCTGGGGAGGAACAACCCCATGCACCAGTACAGGCTTGGGGCTGACCTGCTGGAGAGCAGCTCTGCAGAGAGGGACCTGGGAGTGCTGGGGGACAACAGGTTTTCCATGAGCCAGCAGTGTGCCCTGGCTGCCAAGAAGGCCAATGGGATCCTGGGGTGCATTAGGAGGAGTGTGGCCAGCAGGTTGAGGGAGGTTCTCCTTCCCCTCTACACTGCCCTAGT